GCGCCCTCTAGCAGTCCGGGAGCTGTCAGGGGATGTCCAACTGCCACGGAGGTGGGACAGGCTCCCACCACCATCACCACCACCACCATCACCACCACCACCACCACCACCACCACCACCACCACCGCGGTGCTCGACAGCCAGTTGTGAGCCGGGCTCAGGGCTCTGGCTGAGTGGTGCTCCCGCTATGGAAGCACTCTGACTACCAGGGGGCAGCTCCTGCATTGAGCGTCTGCCCCCTGGTGGTCAGTGCATGTCATAGCGACTGGTCGTTCTGCCGGTTGGTCGATTTGCGTATTAGCCTTTTATTATATAGGATGTATAATATGGAACCCCTTTGTAAAAAAGGGGGAATAAGAGTATATATTTGTAAATGCTTAATTTGCACCAAGGACTTTGGAAGGACCGATAGGCAGTAAGAATAATGAATATTTATGGGGGATTGGGTGGAAAGGATAAGGGGGAGTGAGCTTTTCACTGTAAACTTAGTTATATTTTCATTTTGAACCACGTGTGAATATTTCACTCCTCCAAAATGTTTTATAAAGTCCAGGTCAACCCCCAGGGTAACGAGAGAGAGGAGGTAGGATTCCCCTTGGCCTTGCTTGGCTTTCCTCCGATTTTAGTGCCCTCTTGTCGCCTCTCACTGTCTTGTATCTGGATGGTGGAAGTGGGGTTCTTTGTGGCTAGCAGCTTTCCCAGAAGGGTGGGCTGGCCACCAGTGGCCCCATCTCTCAGGCAGCCCCCACGGCAGGCAGGCAGGCAAGCTGGGGGAATTCGGCTGGTTGTGGGTTTGACAGGTGATGGAGCCGCAGAGCATGCTGGGAATCTTGTCAGTTTCCTGGGGCTGCTCTTGGTGGGGGAGGGGTGACATGCTGAGTGTTCCTGCTCCCCGGCTCCCCGGGGCGTGGCTGAGCAGCGTCCCCTCTTGCTGGCCGGAACTTGGATTTCACCTCCCGCAGGAGGAAGGCAGATGGTGGGTCCGGGAAGGGGTTCTGAGGTCTGAGGGGAGGATGAGGGCCTTCAGTCTCTGAACTGGAAGTGAATAGAAAGTTGCCCCCAGCACTCTGAAGGGGCCTTCCACCTGGTCAGCCAGGCTTTATGGACCAGGGATGGGGGAGTTAGAAGTGACCCGGAGAGGCTGCTGTTCCTGAGGGGAGACACACAGTACAATCAAATCAACTCCCAAGTACGGAGCTCTGTGAACAAGACACTCTGGGAGCATGGGGGTCAGAGGAGGGCCAGGGGCGCACTTCTTTAGGGTGGACAGGAGGCCTCTCTGAGGAGGGAGGTGGTAATGGAACGGAAACCCAAATGAGGAGGAGCCAGTCACATGATCCGTGGAAGGTGCAGTTCCAACAGAAGGAAAAGCACCTGCCAGGCCCGGCTGAGGACAGTGAGCGAGAACCGTGAGGTGAGGACCAGCACAGTCAGGGCTCAGCTTGGGCGAGAGCCTCACTTAAGGGTCTTGGTAGGGATGTGGCTTGGTGGTCAGTGTGGTTGGCCCTGCTTTCAGCACAGCCGCATGTCTGGTCACTGAGCCACAGCTCAGGGTTAAATCTTGGTCTCGCTTCTTCCCAGGCCGGGACTTTTGGCAAGTCACGTTCCCTCTCTGAGCAGCAGCACCCCGACCTGGATCCTGGATCCTCTCTGAGGATCAGGGTGGGCCCTTCCCGCAGACTCGCATCTGGATACCATGAGAAGGGCGAGCAGAGGCTGGTGCTGGCGGACATGGTTCCGGAGCACCAGGCTCTGTCTGAGCTCTCTGCGTGCACTCTGGGGACTCTTCATCCTCCTCCTCCAGGGAAGGCAGATGTGCAGACAGGGAAACTGAGGCTCAGAGGGTAAACCTGCCTGTGGTCCCACAGCCTGTAAGCGGGGGGGGGCGGGGCGGCACAGGATCCCCAAGTGCACGGCCCCGCGCCGCTGCTTCCCCGTGTGTAGCTGCCTCTCAGAGGGGGAAGGCCTGCCCGTCTATTCTCCTCACCTCCGGGCCTTTGCACAGGCCATGCCCTCTGCCTGGAGCACGCTTTCGTTTTACTGTGCACACTCGGGATTTGCCTTGGGGATGCCTCTGTGACCACCACCCAGGTTAAGGCCGCACGCGTGTCCTCTTCGCTCGGCCTCTTCACGAGCTCATGCTGTGCAGCAGGGGTGGGGACCTTTTTCCGCCACGGGCCACGTGGGTATTTATAACATCACTCGAGGGCCAGACACCATTGTCTACTTAAACATCAGCCAGCTGTATTTGGTCAAACATTTAATTAACTCACCCCAATGCCTCGGCAGGACCAGCCCGAATGCTTTTGAGGGCCTTACACGGCCCTCACCCCTGCTCTCCACCATTCAGGGCTCAGCTGAGCTGTGGTTCTGTCCAGAAAGTCACCCCTGGCTACTTTCTCCCCGTCCACCTCGTGTGGGTGAAAGGCTGTCCTCAGGACGCCGCAGCCCTGCGTCCCCTCCCACAGCAGCCACGTGACAGCCCGCTGTCATTGCTGGTGTTGTCACCTGTCACCCCTGGAAACCTGGAGTTCCCTCAGATGGGAATGAAGGCGCTCTCAGCTCTGTACACGGAGAACCCGAGGGCACATAAAGGGGTGATGACTCTGAGGACTTGATAACCCGAGGAGCGTGTGTCTGGTGGAAAACCTAGTCCTCCCCCCACCCACCAGCTGGCATTGCCACGCTGACACCCCCCCTGCCCCAGGCTTCTCTGGTTCCCTCCTTGCGCCATGCATCCCATTGGCTTCAGCACTGAACCAGCTTCACCAAAAATAGGCCCGAGCACTCGCTCGCCCACGCAGGGCATCGCCGCGGCTGCGTGCCCACCTCCTCTCCTGGTGGAGCCTCATTGATTGATTTAAAGCATAAACAAGCATTCCCAGCCATCACTTCTGAGCCAAGAAAGCTGATTAGCTAGATGGTTAAAACTCATTAAAAACTCCAGCGAAGGCGTCCTGGTTGTGTCGGGTGGTGGGCTGCCTCCTGATCAAGCCGGGCGTGGGTCCCGAGGTGTGAAATGGTCCCTGGACAGGAAGAACGGCTCCCTGAGTCCTGCCCTTCGCCACCTTGAGCTGGCCTGGAGGTCGCCCCACTTCCTGTCCCCCCCAGGCTGGGCCTGCTCCGGGCCTTGGAAAGGAAATAATAAGAGGAGGCTGCTGGGAAAGGTGAAGGGTCTATTTTTTCCTTCAGGCTCCCAAACAGCTCCAGAGGCACGTCTGTGTAGATGCCAAGAGGCTGCCAGAGGAAGAAGAAAAAACGTTCTCCCAGATCTTGAGAGCAGGCCTCTCATGGTAACGGCTAATGTTTTCCCACTGCCGTCATCGGCCAGTGCCGGCCCGAGCCGGGTGGCTCCTCCATATTCGCCCTGGCCCCTCCCAGCAGCACTGCACTTCCCATTTTAGAGACCAGGACATCGAGGCTCAGGAGATGATGTGACTTGCCCAAGGCCATGGACTACTGAGTCCAAGCCCCAGACCGCGACATTTGGGGAGGGGGACCAGAGATGCGGGGGCCTGGCCGGCCGGTGGGGTGCAGTTTTCCCCTGGATTCTCGCCGCTGGCAGTACTTCCAGGTCAGAAAGTCTCCAAGTTGCCCTGGACCATGACCTCGCCCCGCCACCACCTGCCATGTTCCCACTGTGCTCCAGGCGCTGGATCCCTGGGGGACCAGATGTCTCCCCTCCCTCCAGATGCTCAGGGGCTGGAGGGAGGGGACAGGCTGGCCGGGGCCTCGTGCTCCTGCCCTGTCGCCAAGACCAGCTCCCTTTCCAGGTCCTCTGGAGAGGACAGTGGCTTTTAACTTGGGGTCCTCGGGGAGTCTCTGCACCCCACGAACTAAGGTGCAGGATTATGTTGTGTGACTCGGGGAGTAGGGACGTGGCCCCCCAGTACTCAAGCTCTCAGAAATGTGGAATGTATTCCATCGCGCATAATTCACACCTCAGTAGAAAAACCATGGAAGCTCTTAGTTAATTAGAAAGAGCCTGGCTCCCTGGCAGGGAGGGCCAGTCCCCACAGGCTGAGCTCTCCGGGCAGATCCCCGGGAGGCTAACGGCCTGGCAACCAGGGCACAGTGGGAGGAGGAGGCACGTGGCCCCGCCCTTTGGAGCCCGCTCCATGTTGGTAAGGGCGGGGGCGGGGGTATCCAGACCTCCCCGCCCCCTCCCTCGGCACTCCCTGTGGAAATGGGTGGGCTGGTTGGAAGCTTTCCAAAGGGCTGGGTAGCAAGTGCATTTACCTCCTGGGAACGCACCCTGCTCTGGCCCATGCTGATATTTGTATCCTGTTCAGCTGGGCCATCCCCGCCCCAGTAGCACTGTGGAGCCCGGCCTGGAGCTGGCGTTCCTCGGGTTGGCCCCGGGCCGTCTTGCTGAGATGCCTGGGCAGGGCCATGGCCCTCCCTGAGCCACCGTGTCCACCCTGTGGAAAAGGGGGCGGTGGACCAGCCGCCGTGATGTGACTGAGGCAACAGTGGCTCTTTCTTGGGCACTTGATGTTGATCATCTCCTGAGCCTCCCAGGAGCCCAAGGAGGGCAGGGCCGCAGTGGCTGCCAGTTTACACATGAGGTCACTGAGGCTCGGGGGCTGCTCCAGGTCGTTCGGATGCTGAGTGCGGAGCCCAGGTTCCAAACCAGCCCCTTTGAGGGGCTGCCCCCTTTTCAGTAAGTTCAAGGAGAAACGGCCTCTCCCACACGACCCAAACCCCTCCTGATAAGACGGAGGCCCGGGTCTGCAGGGCTGTCCATCTGCTGCCCCCGGACCTCGTTAACAGCGTCCCCCATGCTCGCTTACCAAGTTGGCAAGGGGAGAATTGGACCTCGAGGCAGAGAGGTTCTGGGTGATGGGGAAAGTTCTGGAATTGTGGGCTACCCCCGGGGAGGGCAGGCTCAGCGGTGAGCAGTGTGAGCGGAGTGAGGAGCCCTGGGAGGACGAGGCTGCAATCCGCCACCTCGTCCGTTTCTGGTGCCTCACTGTGTGGCTCACGTGTCTCAGGAGGGTTCCTGTTTTCTTGGCGTGGAATCCACATGAAGACTCTTCAGCTCCGCGGTTGGTAGCAATGAGATCCCTTATGCCTCTTTCTTGCCGCTCCCACCCCCACGCTGGCAGGACATTTATCTGTGAGTTAATGGTCCCCAGAATGCAGCGTGAATTTAATCAACGCTCAGCTGCACCATACGCCCCGTCACACAGACAGACTGCCTCGGGCGTTGATAAGATGCGTTTACTTCTCAAAGCACTTTGGTATCTCGTATCTCAAGCTGAGGGAACAAGGTGTTTTTGGCTCAGAAGTGCCCAGTGCTCTGGGAAGATATGGCAGGGCCTCCTCCTGCCCATACTGGTGGCACTGAGCAAGGTGACAGGGAGGAGCCTGGCACCCGGGTCCCGCCAGCCATCCTGTCTCCTGCTCTAATGGTATTACTAATTCATAAAGCCAGAAGGTTGAGTGGGTGGTTTCCGCTGGTGGCGGTCACCTTCAGCACTAGGACAAAAAGACCCTTTGTCGTCCCAGCCGTGTGACCTTTGGGGACTGGCAGGCTGTCAGCAGTGGGTCTTCCGTTCTGGGCACAGCTCCCTGGGAGATGAGCAGGAGCAGTCAGGTCTGAAGGCCGCAGCACCTCCTGGAGAGCGGGCAGGTGGCCAGGCAGGAGGCATCAGCACTGTTGACGAGTCTTAGACAGCAATGGGAAGAGAAGGTGGCTCCCGTGAATGACTCCCCTGTGTGCTGAGGTTGGAGGGCGTCCCTCTCCTTCCTCCTGGCACCCAGGCCAGGGTCCCAGTGATCAAAGAGCCCCTTGTGAGTGCCCGGCACAGGCCTCGCCCAGCTGGTGATTCTAAGGAGTTCTTTTGTCTTGTCATCACCTGCTTCCCTGAGAGCTCAGCCAGAGCCCCCCTTGGGTCACACATTGGCCTCCCACCACCTGGGCCTTGACCAGCAGACAGATGTGGGTTCGATTCGAGGTGCCTGATTCACTGTCTAGGCAAGTAACATTGCCTCCAAATCTCAGTTTCCTCATCTGTAAAATGGGAATGTGTCACAGAGTTGTTGTTAGAATTAAATGAGGATAAGTAAAGCTCTTGACACATTGTAAGTGTTCAGCAGTGGTTGGTAGCTACTAATCATTTTGCTTATAAGCCTTTCAGAAGCTGGCTACAGTTCTCCTTTTTAAGGCCATTGTCAACTATCTTCAGTAATTCTGTTCTTTTTTTAAAAAATATTTTATTGCTTTTTTTACAGAGAGGAAGGGAGAGGGATAGAGTTAGAAACATCCATGAGAGAGAAACATTGATCAGCTGCCTCCTGCACACCCCCTACTGGGGATGTGCCCGCAACTAAGGTACATGCCCTTGACTGGAATCGAACCCACGACCCTTCATTCCGCAGGCCGACGCTCTATCCACTGAGCCAAACCGGTCAGGGTGATTAATTCTATTCTTGACTTGTCTGCCATCTGTGACATCCCTGAAATTAGTCATTATCTTGTCCTTGTGCTGATGATCAGGGACCTTAACATGCTTTAAGTTGTAACACCATGTAGCATATTTTCTTTATTTACAAAACCTATTGGTTTTATTGTTTTATGCAGACTCCATTAATTATTGCAAGTGTTCTGTATAGATTTTGTTTTCTTCTTATGTAACATACCTTTCGTAGATTTTTTTTCCATGAGTCTCTGTGTGTTGTCAGTTTTGTCTGAAAATGTGGTTATTTGCCAGCATACACAAATGATCATTTAGCTGGGTATAAAATTCGGGGTTGTTCCATATTTTCTTTCAGCATTTTATGGTCTCTTGTTGAGAAGTCAGCTCTGTTGTCTAATTGATATTGCTTTGTGGAAACCTGCTTTTTTCTTTTTTACTTGTTTTATTTTTATTTTTTTAACTATATTGAGTCTTAGGTGTGAATTTATTTTATTTATCCTGTCTGAGAATGGTTTATGCTGTTTTATTCTAGAGGCAACTCATGTCTTCCATCACAAAAATATTATATCTCTCCTTTCTCTTTATCATCTTCCTCAGTCATTCTTATAAGAAATATGTAGGACCATGCCATTCTGTCCTGAATGCTTCTTTACCTTTTTTTCATATTTTCTTTGTATTGCTCTACTAGAGGCCCGGTGCATGAAATTTGTGCATGGGGGGGGGTCCCCTCAGCCCACCCTGCACCCTCTCCAATCCGGCAGTCGGACATCCCTCTCTCAATCCTGGACCGCTGGCTCCTAATCGCTCACCTGCCTGCCTGGTCACCCCAAACTGCCTCCACTGCCAGCCTGGTTGCTCCTAACTTACCCCCACTGCCGGCCAGGTCACCCCCAACTGTCCCCCCCCCC